GTGGGTCAGAGCTCTGCCCTCCTGAGCACCAGCATTATTGATTTTGGTGGTTACTCCTGATTTGCACCTGAATAATTGAGAAGGGAATTGGGTTGCATGGGTTATAACTATTTAAAATGATACAGTTTGGAGGAATATACAAGTGTGCAAACAAAACTTGAGGATGCAGCCTAGATTCCCTCACTTGTTCATAGCCTGCGGGCTTTATTAGACCCTCCAGACTTTACCTAATTTTGGCGTTATTCCCTCGTCATTACATCATGAATGTGGAGACAGGGTCATTCTCTCCTATGTTGTGGTCATGTAAGGGATTCACGTGGTTTTGGTAGGGGGTAGGCTGTGTTTGAACAGGTTTCAACTATTTTAAGCACCGTTGGCCATGCTGGGGTTCACACTGGAAGATTCAGTCTTACCAGCGAGTAAATTTTCCTCTCCCATCAGATGCAATATGTGCTGTGAACTATGGAAACAGGCTTTGCCATGCTTCATAGCACCAGAGTAACTAAATTGGAAAGCCAGTTTCCATCACAGACGCAGTGGTCCCAGCCTTGGTGTACCTGTACATCCTTCCTCTTCATTTACTGGAAATGTTTTCAAGTGCTGAGAATGGTTTCCCTGACTTTGTAATTGCGTCAGAAAAAAAGTGCATAAAAAGCAACGAAATCTTGGTCCCCTCTGAGAACCTTTTCTCCAGGAAATCTGTTTTAGATGGCCTGCTTCAAGATGCCCATGGGCAGCATAAGCAGTTGTAGTTTCTTTTTCTCTGTAGTTCCTTTTGCAGGATTTTTACCTGCAAAAAAAAAAAAAAACAAAAAACCCCGAAACCCAAACAATGGTGGTTAGACTCAAAGTATCCAGTCCTTCTGCACCTTCCCTGTGTTTTTCCCTTTATTCCCTTTATCTCTTTATCTAAATGAGCTGGCTCTTAGTATTTTGTGATAGGTACATACAAACCTTACACTTCTCAGGTGTCCTCTTTCTCCTTTCTTTCCCCGTGCTTTTCTGGCTCCTGTCCTCCCACTCCCAGGAAATATTTCAAAGATAATTTGGAATATTTTCTGCCACCTTCACATATCTCCCTGACTTCATGTTTTCTTAGCTGGAAGATAGCTTTTCAACATATATATGTAATCCTTTTCACCTAGACATGTGAGGAATTCCAATCTCTTCCAGTGGGAGTTTTCAGGAAGGTTTAGGTTAAATGGGCCAATAAGGCAAAAGCATGTAGCAGAAGATCTCACCCTCTAAAGACATCTTTTCTCTTTCATTCTTCTCCCCCGCCCCCTCCGGAAAATATATCAGAATATCTAGCTGTCAAAGAATTTAAACAATAATACCTGATGTGAAGGCTAGGGAGCAAGGCTTTTGAAAATAAAGATTGTGATCTCTCTACAGTGTATTCAGGGTCTAATGGAGCTGGAAGTCAGGTGTCCTGAGCAGCAGACTGCTGTGGGAACACTGCTCCAGCTTGGTGGGACTTATTTTACCTGAGCTCTCAATGGAAATTCTCTTGGATTTTCCCCAGCCCTTTTGTTGTGGCCATAGCACCTTTATTGTAGAGATGAGACAGCAAGCCGCATCCAGTTTACAGTAATTTCAATCCTATTGGTGATGACTGAGCTTTTCTCCTGCTGCATGTGAGTGGGGTGGGATACCTGCTGCTGGGCCAGCTTCCATCCCCCAGAAACTCTTGTTGCAGTGTTCAGGGCTGGGATTCATCCCAGCTGATTTTAGCTGACTAGATGTGTTGTCCAAGGTCCCTGTCTGGGCCCCTGAGAGAATTTAGGGCAATGCCTGTTGGAAAAAGGAGAATCAGCTGTAAGGGGTGTTAGGCTGGAAGCCAGCTGGGCTATGAACCCAACCCTAAAGATGCACTGATCTCTTGTAGGAAAGGAGATCAAGGATCCCTAGGAATGAGAACTTGTTTCCAACATCTTAAGACTCAGATTTTTCAGAAGTGGGTCCTTATGGGTGTCCTTAGCCTGTACTGAGGCAGCTAGGGTCACAGCTGGGAGCAGACAGCTTCTGCTGAACATTTTTCTCTCTGCTCCCCACTCCTAGATGTTGGGTGCCGGATGATCTCTGGGGCTCGCAAGGCTCCTTGGGGCGCTGGGGTATGTATGCTGGTGTATTTACTGGTGTGGGTGTCACACTGGATGCTTGCCCATCCACTGCTGCTCAGTCTGTGCTGTGGCACTAGCCTGGGAGGGATCTCAGCACCGGCATAACCTTTGCAGCCCGCAGGAAAGGTGACTTCCATTTAGTTCTAAATTATGACATTATTTTATTAGATCTTTAAACTTTATTTAAATTCTTTATTTAAAAAGGGGGAGGAAGGTATCATATTTTAATTAGTAGCGGTGTCAAAGGAGACCTAGATTAATTATTTGAAATCACTCCATCCAGATGGTTTTAATTTTCACAGCAGGGAACCGGCATCTTTTTAAGGTGATATTTTTCAAATTAAAATCAGCTTGGATATTACTCATACTGGCTGCAGAGCGAGGGGGCGGGGAGCGCAAGTCGTCATGCCCCGTGTTTGTCCATCTGAGCGTGGGCTGCCAGTGAGGATGGGTGTTGGAGAGGTGCAGGTTGCTGACTGTCCATCAGGACTGCAGCTCAAGGCTCTTGCCTGGGAGTGTTTTATCAACATTAGCTCCTCCTTTAGCTGGCCCTGATATCAGCATTATTCTTAGCATTATCTGATATTCAGCATTATTCTTAGCAGCTTTAGGCACAGCACTGAGACTGGGATGGACGGAAAACGCCTTGCAGCTTACACAGGAACTTGCTGTGCCCTGTGCTGGCCTGTGCGCAAGCTGTGGAGCCCTCGCTTGAGTCCTTCAGTGGGTGGCCTTCAGACCCTTTGCATGCCTGGGTGGATTCCACATTGTAGATCTGTGGGCAGCTCCATGTTGCTCTAGGTGTTGGCCATGGTTATTGGGCCAATGTTTGTGACCTTTCCTGCTGGCTCCATAACCTTCCTTCATGTGCAGGCTGCTGCTCTCCCCACTCTGAAGGGAGACCATTAGTCCTCTGCTCATGTGAGGGGAAAACCTTTAAAGATGGTCATACCTTTGGCTATTCCCTTGTCTATTAATGCTTCATTCCATCTGAGCAGCCTCCCTGAACTTCTTGGACCAGTGGGCATTCACCAAGTTATACACCATGTTGGTCAGCTGCCCCTTGAAGACACGTCTTTGACTCTGTGCCATCTTCCCCCATCCTGGCTTGGCTCATCTTTTTATCCTTTCTGTGACAGACTATTACTGGTTCACGTGGCCTTTCCTCACTTCAGTGGTCACTGGTTCAATGTCACCTTGGCAGGTGTGGAGAGAAAGTCTGCACCACCTAGTTGGTGCTTGCAAGCTGCTCTCCATCACAGATACCCAAAAACATGGTGCATTTCTGAAAGACTTAGATAAATATCAGTATTTACGCATGATTGCAAGTAATATTCTGCTATAATACAGGCATTATCCCACTTGCTGTCTGTCAGAAAGAAGTTATTCTGTAAGTATCCACCATCCTAACAGGTTTAACAAAAATATCTAAATAAATGTAAGCAGCTAGTAACTGGAAAACCCTGAACTTACATATGTGACTGATCTGCAAAGGGAAAACTCCATTTAAGACCCTTGTGAGTTAAAGGTTTGTGATATTTGCACTGCTGCAGAAGCCAAAAGCTGACTTTACAAGTGGGAAAAATATTAATGTGTTTAAATGAAACAAACTCCTATTTCTATCCCCATGGTAAATCCTTACAGTGAACATATTTGCTCTTAGAGGGTTTTAAAGTTTGAAATATGAATGCCAAAAAGAATGTGACTTTTTGCAGCACAGATCAAACATTCTCCAGAGTTCGGCAAAAGCCGTGTTTCTACGGTAAGGCTCGGGTCTTACAAGCATGAGTATTTCCAGAGCAGGACCGTGGATTTGCACTTGCTGACACTTACACATTTTTGCATTGTTTCAACAATGTTTTCTTTCTCCCCCTCCATATTGGAGATGGATCTGAACCAAAATGTCCAGTCTGACTGTTCCTGCCTCTCCAGGGAAATTCCTGGAATCCGAACCTCGAGCATGACTGGAATTTGTGTTTAGATCAGAGATGGAACAAAACACTGAATTTGGATGTGTCTAGATTTTCAAGATGATGATGGCATGCTACACATCTGAGTGGCAACTCAGATACTTCTGCAAATACAATTATGTCAGGGCAGGTGCTTTATGAAGATGCAGCAGCAATCTGTCCTCTATCATGGCTCCTGGCAATGCTGCAAACAAGCTTGGGCCTCAATAAATCTATGAGGCACTATGAGATTGGCCATATTTGTCCCAGCTAGAGCAGCAGTCACGGATCTGGACTGCCAGAGAGCAATTAGGGACCTCCTGGGAACATACCTAAACACACAGGGGATGTCCGCAGGGCAGGTGTTCATCAGGCAGAGCAAGCAGCGCTGAATTTCTCCCCTGCTAGCTGTTGTGGTGATATTCAGGAGATCACTGTGATGCTTTACACCATGTGTGTGTAGCTGGACCACTTTGGTGCAGTGTTTGAGGGCTGCTGGCTGCAGGGGAAAGATTTTTGTTCTTGTCATGCTAATCTTTTATCTTCATGAGAATAAAATCTATGTTCTTACCCTCTGAGAACCCTCCTGCGGTGTGGAGGAGAGCATTAGCATTGAGTTTTATATTGCTGATGAGGTGGTGGGGTTGGTGTGGACAGATGGAGCACATGTGTATATGCACAGTCTGTGCTAAACTGGCATTAAATCCGGAGCATCCATGTAGGAGTCAGTGGAGACATGTCAGATCTGTGCCTGAGATCGAGCCTGGAGCTCAGCCCCTGGGTGGTTCCTTGGGTTGTTCCCTCGCGGAGCGTCCCAGCTTGGTGTGGTTCAGGTAGAGGTAATGGGACAACGCGCTGATGAGCTTTGCACGCTCTGACTTAATGGGACCACATTGGTAAATGCTTTTTTTTCTTCTTCCTTTACAAGCCCAGCTTCTAGTGGAAACAGACACTTTTGGCAGTCAAGTCCGGATCAAAGGGAAGGAGACAGACTTCTACCTTTGCATGAACAGGAAAGGCAAGCTAGTGGGGAAGGTAAGTGTTTCCCATTAATTCATTTGTAACATGAGTGTTACCTTTAGCAGCCTCCTCAAGGCTGTAATGATGTGTTTGAGCTTCGCCTGTCAGCCTCAAATGAAAAGCAGGACGGAGGGGATGTGGGGTTTGCGAGGCAGCCCGTGCCCTTCCCCAGCCCTCCCCTGCGTCCATGAAATGCTGCTCTGCAGCCAGCCCTGGCACTCCGGTGGCTCTTCGGACGCGCACGGGTTTGTGCCTTACGGGTGCGTTAAATTGATGTGAGATGTCATCTCGGCATCCCAGTGTCGTGGCCACCTCCGCAGCAACTTCGTTACTTGACCTTTCTTCGGAGGGAGATTCTAAATAAAAGGACAAGTGGACCGCTGTGCTGGGGAGGTTGGTTAGTGCTGGGGAGATTGGTTAGTGCTGGGGAGGTTGGTTAGTGCTGGGGAGGTTGGTTAGTGCTGGGGAGGTTGGTTAGTTCTGGGGAGGTTGGTTAGTGCTGGGGAGATTGGTTAGTGCTGGGGAGGTAAGCAACATAAGGCTCCTTTCAGTGGTGAGCCAGGGGATGGTGTGGCAGAGCTAATACTGGAATCCAAACACCATACTGGGGCTGGGCCTCACGGTTCTAGCGTTACAGGAATATTTTATTACTTTGGATCCCTGCACAATGGAAGCATGTAACAAATTACAGCGTGTTCACCCATCTAGCTTAACTTCTTTGCTGAAGTCATATTTTTTATGTATTAACTTGCTTTTGTAACTTAAGCAGTGCTGTATTGTTGGCGAACCTAGAGGCTTGCTAACCAGGCAGAAGCTTGCTCAAAGCTAAAATATCAACAAAAAATAAATGTAAAGTAAAATACCTTAGCACTCAAAGGCCCCTTCTTCCACTGCCTGCACTTTGCACCACCAGAAATTAAAATCTGGCATCTCTGCGGCTGTAAAAAAGGGAAGCTGAGTTTTGTTTTGAGTCAACACAGCGAAAGCCACACTCCCAAACAGAAACCAGAAACCAGAAACCAAATTGCTCTGATGAAACATTATTTACTTTTGTGGTCCCGAGAGTGACACTTGCGGGACAAGTGCCTTTCCTGGAGGATCCCTCCTGCCACTTTTGTTTTCCTCACGAGCTGTGCGGATGCTTCTGTCGAGACTGAGCCCAGATCTTTCGCGGGCGGCCGCTGGCTGTGGCAGCCTGCCTGGCCCCGCTGCAGAGCTGCTTCGGCGAAGCAGGCAGCGCCCGGGATGCTGCTCGAAACCGGTGGGGATTTGGAAATTGGTGCTCTGGGATGACTGGACCGAAGCAGCTCGTTCTCTCGGCTTCCTGCACTTCTGCAGTGCAAATACTGCTCTGAATGAGACACCCTTGTTTGATACTGGGCAAGGAAATTAGTTTTTTAACCAGATTTAGACCTCTCAGGATACACATGAGTGCATTTGAGGAGTTCACTGAACACAAACCTGGCCTTTGATTTTTTTTTTTTTTTTGCCTTAATTTTCCAATGTGATAATAGCATTTTTCCTGAAGTGTTATGAGGATGATTTTGTTAATGTTTGAGGTGCTGATACCACAATAATGGAGACCTTAGAAGCATTCAAATTAGATGGGGTAAAGTGGGCATGAAATCTTACCTTTTTATTTAATAGACCTTACTCCAGGGTGGATCAGCAGTGGTACACGGTGCAGCCTACATCCTTTCCTGGTCTATGCTGAGCGTCCAGGAGCATCCTGGCCAAGTCAGAGGCTGTTTTTCAGAGCATATAGTGTATTTTGGCAAGATTCATCCCTTGATTTGGCCCACTGGGCATCAAGGCAGGACAGTTCTTTAGCTTGTCACCTTTCGTGCAGTGTAAAGCTTTTGTTTTTTTTCTTGATGTGCTTTTCATAAAGTTAAGTTGGCAAATGGGTTGTTATAAAAAAAAAAAAAAAAAGTATTCTTGTAAATATGAGCCTTCCCACCCCAGACTGCTGACAAGTTCACAAACCAGCTGACCTGAACAGGAGGGGGTACGGTGCATGGCGTTTGGAAGGAAAATGTTCCAGACGCATTGCCCATATTAACAGCTTCTCATGAGCAAAAAAAGAAAATAATAGCATGTCTTCTTGATACCAAAGAGTGTGGTTTTAATTAGTATCATAGTTTCAGCTCTTTTTGCGGCAAGAGTTTGAGGGAATGCTTTTTAGCTTGAATGCTCTAAACAGCTAGTAAACCCCAAGGAAAACATTAGATAAAAGTTACGCCTGGGCTTATACAAATATTTAAGTTCAGTCTGGGGGTGGAGGGGAATGAAACCCATAAACTGATTGTTTCACAGTCGCCCCGGTATGTTCATTTGGCAAGAGAGGAGCCATGGGACCAAACTGGGTCTTTTTCTCTGCTCATTTCCTATTGCCTTACACTGCATAATCCCTAACAATACCAGCATATGCCATCTGGCTTTGTTCTCCTTCTCAGTCAGCAGTTTTGGATCCCCCCCAGTTGAAAACCTGCTTTGAATTTAGTCCTTTTTGTTTCCCATAATCACCTACAAAGGGTATTACAGGCCGGAGCAGGTTGTTGTTGTTCTCAGCTGGAACTGGTGACGAATGCATGAGCTCCAGAGACGGGGCTTGCTCCCCACCTCGGAGCCCGTTGTGTTGCAGGCAAACAGACTAACCCACAGGGCAGAGAAGAGCAGCCTTGGCATCTTTTCATTTATTTATTTATCAGAAATTGCACCTAAGCCAGTGTTTCTGAGCGGAGGCCATCTGATGGAACTTTCTCAGGAGCCCCAAATCTTGTGTTTCCTCCCTCGCTTGGTTGTTACCGCCTGTGTGTTCGCAGCCAACGTTGGCCAAAGGGCTCGGAGCTGTTTTGGGCAGGCTTTTAACTTTATTTAGTGTCACAGCATGCAACTGCTGAGGTCACTGGTGCTCTATGTACTGCTTATGAAAACTGGAGACAGGGCAGGTGTTGTACAGGGATTGACTTTTAAAGGCAACCAGCACCGGGGGAAAACAAATTGAATTGTGTTTTTTTCATTGATTCTTGGTATTATATTGAAGAAGGCCAAAGAAATTTTTTTTTTTTTCCTTCTGACCATGTTTTTTTTTTTGTCTGTGGGTTTTTGGTGCCTTTATGTGTACACGTGTAGAAATTGTAGGTCCTGAGTTTTCTGATTTTGCTGAAGTTTTCTATGGACCACCGAACTTTATTATAGAATAGTTTAGGTTGGAAGGGACCTTTAAAGGTCATCTAGTCTGAGCCCCCCTGCAATGAGCAGGGACATCTTCAACTTGATCAGGTTCCTCAGAGCCCCGTCCAACCTGGCCTTGAATGTTGCCAGGGATGGGGCATCTGCCACCTCTCTGGGCAACCTGTGCCAGTGTTTCACCACCCCCATTATAAAAATTTTTTTCCTTGTATCTAGTCTAAATCTACTCTCTTTTAGTTTAAAACCATTACCCGTTGTCCTATCACAACAGGCCCTGCTAAAAGGTTTGTCCCCATTTTTCTTATAGGCCCCCTTTAAGTATTGAAAGGCTGCAGTAAAGTCTCCCTGGAGCCTTCACTTCTCTAGGCTTTATGGTGGAGTTATATTACAAGGAGAGAGACTAAAATATGAAAACTCAGGGAAGGAGTGCTAGGTGCTTTTCTTAAAAACTTTTTTGTCTTCTTTTTTTTGTTATTCATGTTTATTATCTCAGGCTTCTTACAAATGTGGGGGGGAAAAGGAGTTCAGCGTTCCTTCCAAGGAGAGGCACAATGTGACTTCTCTGCTTGCGACAATGCACAATGTGACTGGTCGCCTAGAACACAAGAATTCTGAACATTTGCAATAATTGAGTGTTAGGGGAGAAGAGGAGCTAATGGTCTCTTTGGAAGAGCTCTGAGTTTCTAACTGTGGTTCTGGGGAGTCCTGTGTTTTTTCTGTCTGCCTCAGCTTCTCTTATCTCGCACATTGAGAGAAGGATGACACAGGGACTTCAAAGGTAAGTCTTTTAAGTCTCTGGAGCAAGGAGTAGCGTGAGCAGGTGGCTGTTAATTAGCTTGGCCACTTCTAACTGCTCTTGCTGAGCCTGTCCTTACAGCAAATCCATGCTCTCTAGAATTGCAGGATGATGCAGAGGTTTCCTTTTCCTGCCCAGTCCCAGTCCCCTCATCAGGAGAGCCTTTGCAAGCCATCAGTGATCTCTGCAAAGCTTAAACTGGATCTGTCAGCACCATTACAAGATGATTAAAGCCCTGCCCCTTCCTTTAGGCACTGCTACTAGGGCTAGTGGCTGGTACGTGGTGATCAGAGCATCTCCTACTCCCCAGGCACTGTTGCCAGGGAATTTCCTGTGGGTCTCTACCAGCCACCCATGGGATCACTCAGTCTGGTTGACACTAGTGCTTGGTTTATAGCAGGTTTCCATAAGGAGGCTATTTTGCACTCCCGAGTCTAAAGGGAGAGGAGATAGTAGGCCTGTGTTTCTGGACTGACCGAGGGCAGAGGATAACGGACCTTGGCTTCCTGCAAAGCTGCCAAGTGGGAGGTGAGGCTGCTTATTGCAGACCGTGGCAAGGGAGACATCAGTTTTCAGAGGAAGATACAGAATCAGGGAAGGTAAGTAATGACTGGAAGGAATCCAGAAGATTTGATAAGAATGGGGAAAGAGCTAAGCACATCTTTGATCCAGAAGCTTTTTCAGAAGATGCTCCAAGCAATCCCACTAATGTTCTTCCATGGCATTAGGTGGATTACATTTTTTCCAGATCCAGGAGCAAAATTGTTCCCTGTTGGTTTCATTTTGAGAACAGCTCCATCTCTCAGTGTGTTAAGTGACTCCTTGAGCTCTCCCAGGAAGGAGAAGCAGGTGCTGGGTGCTGGACCCATCTCCTCGGGATGGGACTCAGTGCAGGTGGAGTTGGGACAGCACAGTGGCTGTCAGTTGTGCTCCTGTGTAATGCTGCTCCACCTAATAGGGCTGTAATCTTGATATTGCAAGCCTCAAGAAGTAGGGAGTTTCCTGTAGGCTTTCCTATAGGAAA